GTTCTAGTTTTCTTTTTTACTTAAAAATATGAAAGAAGAAACAATGATCGATCAAATCATGTAGATATATAAGACATAAGCTCACTTTATCATTAAAATATGACCAATTTTTTAAAAAACAAAAGAAAGGAAAACAGATTACTCATTCCTGAAAACAAACAAGTAATTCTTAAACTCATGTCTTGTTTTGAGGTAGTATGTTTTTAGGCATGAGTTTCTTCATATTCTCCCTAGTACTTTAAATGTTCTTTAGGGAAGAAACTAGCACTCGTTACTTGTTAAATCACAGAGGACAAGAAAATTTTCTAACATTGGTAACAAAGCAGCATGCATCCCTCTCATATTAAGAGTTAAAATGACACTTTTGAGAAAGTGGCAAAGCTCTCACCTTGGAGCTTGAAGGCTCAGCTTCAGCCCACCTGAGGGGACCACAACAGCCTTCAGGGCCCATTGGGCCTCAAGATATGGGTGCTTCTTTTTGCACATCATGTACGTTTTGTAGCTTGCAGTTGCCATTAACCAAACTCTGTTATCGCTCGTTACCTTCATCTCTGATAGCAATCTGCCAATTTCCTTAATTAGATGCTCTACTAGACTAAACCCATCTCTTGAATCTTCATGAAGAGCCCATCTCAAATCCCCAACAAAAATAATCACTCTCTCTAGTGCTAAGGAAGTCAATTTCCTTCTCAAATCAGAGATTTTCAAGTCCACTTCAATCCTGCTCATGAGCCTGAGGTGAGCATAAGACAGCTGTAGCTTTACAAAATGTGAGGTTTTGATCTCATCAGGGGCTCCCCCACTCTCCAACATCCTCATCATCTCAGATACAACTCCCTCTGCAATAGAAACTGAGTCCCCGACTACTGCAATGTTGCTCACCTTCCCCTGTTTTCTCAACATCGAATCAAAAACCAGCTCCAGATCCTCATTAATGGAGAAATGGGAACATGGGTTTTTCTCAGGAGATGATTTCACAGCATGGGTATGCAAAACGTTTGCACTTTTGATAATCTCCCTGCTGGAATCAGAGAAAAAAGGGGAGGAAAGCGGAAAAACAGAGCAGCTATCTTCTTCTAAGTTTGATTTCACTTTAGTACTGGAGAAGCCAGCCTCTTTCATCACTCTACTAACACTTGGGTCGTCTAGGATTGAAATAATAAGCTGTTCTAACTCGACTTTGATAACCAAATTTGTATCCTGTTGCTGATTCTGCTGTTCAATGAGGCCTCTCCTCTGATGGGCTTGTGCTCTCTTGAGCGCAGCAATGAGAGAATTAGAGAGTGAAGGTTGAGATTGAATATAACACCCAGATGGAGGTGGGGGATTTGTAGGGAGCCTGTTGAGAGCAACATTGAAGCAGAGCTCAAGGGCTCTGCAATGGAGAGGGTGAGAGCCTAAGTTATGAGAATGAGATACGAGGCAAGCTCTTCTCAAGAGAGCGGATGATGAAGACGAATTCAAGAGAGTGGAAGCAACATGAAGAGGAGTGACTTGAGAATGGCCTCTTCTTGTTGCTAGACCGAGAGAGAACTTGATAGCGGAGGCTGCCTCTGTTGTGAGGGCCTGAAGATGAACGGAGCAAGCTCCAGCGTGCATTACTTGAATCAACAATCACCAACCTCCAAACACCCAAACGAGAGAGTAGATAGATTCTACTAAGATTAATTCTATTGCTAAGATTTAACTGAGGTTTCTTATCTCTTTGATATTGTGGGCAAAGAAAAGTCTGAGCTAGGCTGCTTTCTTATCTCTTATACAAGACCGAGCTTTATTTAAAATTTCCACCTTTAGGGGTGATCGCTCTTTATTCTGCACTGTTCACTTTATGTAGCCCTTTTTATTTTTTTTTATGTTTTAGGGAGTGTCGTATAATTTGCCAGGCTACTGCCCTGTGATTCCTCCAGAAGGAATCTCTCGTATGCACTATACATTTCTCTTCTTCAGGAGTTGCAGTTCATCATAGTACTGATGGAGCTTCCTCTGTTTTCTTTCGGTTGGCAGTTTTATTAGAAAGAAACTAGAAGAGCAGAAATAAGATTGTTGATAGATAAAAAAAAATAAATGTAACTATTAGAGGTGTATAAAATAGGAAAATTTGAGAGGGGATTAAGATGGGGAAAATAATTAAGTCCAACAAATATATGTTAATTTACCTGAAGATATTGGCCATTAATTTCTGATGAAGATATAGATTCCCTTATTTGATCCCTCATATGGTATTAACTTTCTGGTTTATGTTCTAAAAATCTTTAGGACTTTCACAACATAGAAGCATACTATTTACTTAAAGTAATGATGGCACAGTATCATCATTAAACTACTAACAAAGGGTTCTCTGTTGGCTTTCTTTCATAAAACTGGTAACAATTGAGCCTACATCCCCAGTCAAAATCAGAGGCCTGCCTTCCTTTTTCATATAATTCTTTGTGAAAGGAAAGGTGAAGTTTCTCACCAAAAAAAAAAAAAAAAAAAAAAAAAAAATTTAAAAAAAAAAAAAAGAAAAAAAAAAAAAAAAGAATTCAAAAGAATACAAAAGGTAAAGCAAAAAAAGAGGTCAAAGAGTACAAAAAGTTGGGGCATTTGCCAAAGTTAGCATGTTTGAAATATGTGCATAAAGCCACTCTCATGCCTTTTTGCAGTTTAACTTGACATGTGAAAGAAGTACAATTACCTACAGCAAGAGACGCAAAAAGAAAAAGAGGATAAATTAGGCACAGTACGTTGTATGAGTCTCTCTGTCTTATTATTTTTTCGTTAGTATTGGGTTTAGAATTGCTTTTAAGTTGCCCAACAAAAAATATCTATCTCAGAATGCTAGCAACTTTTATTTTTTTTTTTCTTAGGAAGTTTATCCTTTTACATTTGAATTTTGAAAATTTCAGTTCATATGATCTTTTTTCAATCCTATCGTGCGCAGGCAAAATAATGTTGGAAAGAGTACTTTTATCGATTAAATATTGAGGCTAATTTATCGATCAAAAAAAAATATTGAAGTTAATTTAAGGGCTAATAATTGGTTGTACCTAAATGTTATTCCATGTTGCTTAATGCAAGACAGGCTATTTAGAAGACATTGTTTATTTCTCTTCCAATAAAAAGGAAGGTGTGGACATTTGAGTAAGTTAATGAATGTAACTTGAAAGTGTCTCTTCAAAGTTAGCTAATCAATAGCTTCTCCAGCTTACAAGAAAGGCATCACTCCTGTGACTTTTTGAAATAGCTAGCTTTTTAAAGCATGCTAAAAAAGTTTGTTCTGTTTTAGTTCCAAGGAATCAAGAACATAAGCACATTAGGGATACAAGTCCACCAATTATTAAGGTTAAATTGCAGATGACCCCCTTCACATATACTAAACTCCTAATTTAAATTTGTGTGGGGGAGGAGCTTGCGTTGTCTACAACTTATCCTTCAAAAAATGGAAATTTTCGGGCGATAAGTGGTAATAGTTAAAGGGTACTGTTAAATGCTATTGAAGGTGCAATTTACCGGCCTTGGTTTAATATGAGGAAAAAAAGAACAATTTTTCAAAACCGACTGAATTTTTTTTTTTTTTTTCAAAACCGACTGTTTTTTTTTTTATTTATCAAAATCGACCCGGTTTTGTGATTAGCAGGCTAATCACTATCCTAAATAGTCGGGGTTGGCAACCCCGACTATTTAGGATAGTGATTAACCTGCTAATCACCCTTTAATTAGGGTTTAACACCCTCCTAAATAGTCGGGGTTGCCAACCCCGACTATTTAGGATAGTGATTAGCAGCCTAATCACAAAACCGGGTCGATTTTGATAAATAAAAAAAAAAACAGTCGGTTTTGAAAAAAAAAAAAAAATTCAGTCCGTTTTGAAAAATTGTTCGGAAAAAAAAGCATTAGAATGTTGTTTGACATTGTGGCATCATTCCATCAAACTAATTGGGATTACTAGATAGTTTTCCTTCAATTTACTTTGCATCTCCCTTTGCTCATGTGACATTAATCACATGCATATATGGGAGAGAAAATGAAGTTGATGGATGACTGATAAGAATCAGGTAAGTGTGAATAATAAATGAACAAAATAGAGACACATGCACACCCCCTCTTTTTTACAAATTACTGTTATTTCAGTTCAGTGTCTAAATTTGATTGATAAGAGTTTTATGCACTTCTATAAGAAAATAAAGAAAAAGAACAAGAGGGTGGTGATGAAAGATGTCAGCATAAAAGCATATGAAAGACAACAGAATGAAAAAGTAAGGGACGGCATGTAGTATCAGGACCTGATTCTTTTTTAGCATCTTTTTCACCTCAAAATTTGTGAAATTATAGGCTGCTAGCACATGAGCAAGTCTTTTATATAACCAAACTATCTTGTCTATTTTAAAGCAGTCCTTTTTTTTTTTTTTGTAGATGTGTAGGTGTCTAAAAATGCCTATAGGTTCCTACACGTGGCTCGAGACAGAGAAAAGACGATGAACATCACTATCCGAGCCACAGAATCTTATTTGACGTCGACAAGTGCATGAAGTGAGTCGACGAACTGTGTGAAGCAACGAAACTTCAAAATAACAAAAAACACGAAATGATCGGGGGCTATGTTTCTCTTACGAAAGACGAAGCGCCCCTCGTGTCCCATCTACCCCACATGTCATTCAACCATGTGAGCTTGTAGATCTTCTCGTCGGCTCTCCTTCACACTTTGAATCGCGCAATTCTGAGTTCGGATGACGAATATACGATGGAAACGGACATGACGCACAAAACAATGCCTCGGGCCTTAGCGGAGACACTTTAAGTGTCTCGGTCTTGGTAGAGACTGTCTCACTTTGAATCTGAAGAAGTTTAAAAAATAAAAGTTGTAGATCTCCTCGATAGCTTTCCAATGCATCTTGTATCAACTCATTCCGAGATCAGATGAGAGAGTTAGAAGCAAAACAGAGGAGAGACACTTGCATTGTCTCGGCCAAGGCCGAGACAGTTGGACTGTCTCGGGCTTTATAGAGCTATTTTAACCATGATTCACTTCAAATATGAAGAATCTCAAAAGACCAAAGTTATAGATCTCTTTGTTAGATTTCTAATGCATCTTGGATTAACTCATTTCAAAATCGTATGAGAGAGATAAAGCCAAAATACCAAAAATAGTACAAACTGCCTCAGAATTCCGAGACAGTATTGATGACTCGGAGAAGAATGGAGATTTTGGCCATGATTCTATTCGAATATGAAAAATCTTAAAACATAAAATTTGTAGATCTATTCGTTAGCTTTCCAACTCATCTTGAACCATTTCATTTGGAGGTCATATGAGAGAGTTAAAAGCAAACAAGCGGAGACACTCTGACTGTCTCGGCCAAGGCCGAGACACCGCGGGTGTCCCAGACCCCAAAAAGTTGTTTTTGCTGTTTTTGAGTCGTTTTTCAACCGTTAACCATCTGGATTTGTTTCAACTGATCTAATATCATCTAAAAATGTGATAAAGTAGTTATAACTAAGGATAAGAGCAAATCATTTATTTTTATTAGAAAACAGAGCTCCTGAAGCCTATAAATACAGCCCTAGGGCCTTCATTTGCACATACCTGGAATTCTCGAGCGTCGGCGAAACTCTGCTGAATTGAAGACTCAAGGAACATGAATTACAGAAGAGAGATCGAGTTCTTCAGCACAGAAAAGAAGACTTCGTTAGATTCGCAATTCCCGGTTCTTTTCCTTGAGATTGCCATGTTGTGGTGATCTCGAGAAGAGTGGTTATCTTGCTGTTGCCGAGATAATTGCTTCGGTTTGTTGATTCATTCGCGAATCAATGAAGCTCCGGGTCGATCTGATCGTTTGGTAGTCCACGGATATCAACATCCACGTCACAGGTCAAGATCTCACGCAAGCAGCGGGTGATAAACATTCGTTGTGTTTGTTTTAACGAGAGTTATAATTTTTTTCGTTTTCATTGTGTAAGAGTCTTATAAAAAGACTATCTTTTTGTTTTCATTGTAACGACTAAAGTTGTAATGAATACCTCAATAAAAATATCAACTTTCACCCAAAACAAGATGATAACTATACTTTGTTATGTTTTCCATCATATAACCTCCACAAGATCGAGGTACTCTCATTTTCAATTTATCTTCCCTTTTTGAGTAACTGTGACAAGATGTCCAGGAAATTTATTGATTGGAAAAATAGGTACCGAACATATTTGAGATGAAAGGAAGAGGAAACTAGAAGCAATAGATATAAAATATACTTGAGATGAAAGGAAGAGAAAAGGGGTAGCAATAGATATAAAATATATTTGAGATGAAAGGGAGAGAATGAGGAGCTAAAAGAAAAGGTAAGAAGAAGAAAAATACTAAAACTGTTTTCTAAACTAAATTATATATTCTCATTGTTTCTTCATTAATTCATGCGTACAGTACTGAAGCTAAGTCGACTAACTTTAAGATTTTTATTAGTTATACTAGAATATGAATTCCATTGAGAGACCATATAGAATAAGCAAAGTTTTTAAGAATACTAGTATAGTGCACGTGCATTGCACATGTACATATTTGTTTTATGTTATCTTATGCAACTTGTTATATAATCTATGAAAAAGTTTGATTTTTGATGTAATTATTGCAAACCTTGATGACTTATTTGTAATTTTCTCTTCATTAAAACCCTAAATACATATAAAATTTTTAGAGGTTTTTTCTTGAAGTTTATGGTTGTTAATTTTAAAACTTTATAAAGCTAGGGTTCTCGTCATAAACATATGAAATTCCTTTGAATTTTCTGAAAATTTTGGGCTTTATTCTTTAAACTTAAGAAGATCTAGGGTTGTTTGTTTAAAATTTCAAAGTTTATTCAGTTAATTCTAAACAAAATTGTTTTTTTACAAAATTGGACCTTTTCTGTAAAAAAAATGCAATTTTTGAATGCTAAAAAAAAGTGCAATTCTATTCTTTAAAACCCAAAAGGCCTAATTTTATTTGTTTTACAACCTAATATAATATGTATGGCATTAGGAATTTCATAAATACTGGAGGCCTTATACGCAAATTTGTGCTATAATTACAGCATAACCAAAATTTCTTCAAAACTAAGCGATAATTCTTTCCATATCAGAAAAATATTGTCAAATGACAATATTTTCACCAAGTTAATATTATATTAGAGCTTCCATGTCGACATCCACATCAGCAAAATCATTAGAAACAATGTTCTAAGCAAAGCTCTCAAAATCCAGTAATAATTTAGTGCAAACTTGTTAGCATAGCAAACTTTCATTAAAGACCGATTGCATTCTACAACTTGAAAGGCATCAAAACGTAAATTTAAATAGCCTTGATCTATCTAGAGCTAATTAAATACATAAGGAATAAGATTACTTAAAAATTAGTCATCATCTTCACTTTTCACTTGTTTTCTTTTTTACTTCCGATGCCATTTCTACATCACCATTGTCGATAGGGGGAAAAAAATCACACTATCAGGCCTTCGTTGGGGGTTAATGGGTATATTTTATCACCAATCATTAAGTTTGATCCTTCACCTTTTATAAAGGTATGAATAAACTTTATAAAATAAAATTATCAACTTACTGCATTTTGAATGCCATGAACTGGTGGTATGCTCGTCACAACTCCAAGGTCTTGCCAACTATAAACTTCCTCAGCAAATTAATAGGCGATGTAAATAATATTTTGAGCTGATCAGTAAAATGTTGGAGGCACAATATTCAAAACTTCTACAGTATCCTATGGGCTGGGAAGGAAACTGAGCCGATTAGACCCAATTACTCGTTAATTGCTATCCCCTACCCAGCATTCCAGCAGCATGAAGGATTAGCAGTGAATAATACTACTGATTAGCATTTCATCCAACAACAACTTTATGAAACGTTGGTGACATAACTAATCATACAAATTAAGATAACAAAAAGCAATAAAAAAATTAGATAAAATA